ACCACCAACCAGAGACAGACAGACAGACAAAGAGATAGATAAGATCACCTAAGTTAGAAAGCCATTTCTTCTGATGGAGTGTGTGTGTGTGTGTGCGTGTGTGTGTGTGTGTGTGTAGAGATATCTTGATAGAAATAGATATACATATATCTATAGATATCTATATATAAATATTTATATATCTAAATAGACTTATCCATCTAGATATACAAATATGTATTATACACACACTTAATCACAAAGATTATGCTTAAAGCTTCTCTACCTTAGTAGGGCTGACAAAACTTAGGCTTTAAGAGCGTAGAAGGATCTTTTAAGATCCCAGGGTAACATCCACAACAAGAATAGGTATTACGAAAAGCTTAGTTACTGCAAGTTTTCATATAATACACTTTCTGTAGGGTTTTTTTTTAACCTGGACTATTATTTAGACACTAAAAATATCCAAGTCTATGGAAAACACAAGAAAGTTTGGGAGTATAGTGATATTCTGTCCAGACAGAATACCCCATCTAGATCCTCATGGAAGTTATCGATTATCCTCCAGATCTTTCTTTCTCCTCTCCGAAAAAATTTAGTACCTGCCACACAGTCTTTCTCTCCTCTCCAACCAATACCCTTACACTAGGGAACTTTGACATATATGTTGATGTTCCCTCAATCACCCTGGCCTCTCAGTTCATCAATATACTCAACTCTCATGACCTACATCATCAATCCAGTTTAGCTACACAAAGAAACAGTCACACCCTTGATTTCATCCTCACCCAAAGTGTTCCACTTCAATGATCAACAATTCTGAAATTGCTCCATAGAAACAGCATTTTATCTCCCTCCATGCCTCCTTCCTAAATTTATTCATTCTCACCAGGACCTTCAGATCCTCCACCCCTCAATACTCTCATAGACCATCACCCTCATCTGACTTTACTTTTCTCCCTTTTTGATTTTGATCCTATAGTTAACCTATTCAACTATATACTGTCCTTTTCTCTCAAACCTATTGTACCCTTTTTCTGTATCTGTTCACACATTGTCAAATCCCAACTGTGGGTGGATCCACTAATAACAATTCTCTGAGCCTGACCCTCTTGTTAATCACGCATTTATATAACAGTGTTGTGCTCTAGATAACATACCATTGTGGACAGGATTTAAAAAGGTTGAAATTAGAATACATCCTGTCATTCTACCTAGGCTGCCACTTTATCACAAAAGGAAATTAGATTGTTCTGATAGGTCTTGGGCCTTTGTAGAGCCATTCTGTTTGTTATTCTTGTCTTCTTCAAATAGTTTAAATTTTATTTTGTTATTTATTTTATCCTGTATCCCACCATATACCTTTTCTGCTCCTCCCCACACATTGCTGAATGGTTCTATGGAGGAAGACACACAACTCTTTTGACTGAGTCCACTACAAATGGATGCTATATAACCTCAACTGGGCTCTCACTGCAACAAGGTAATCCTTTGACTCCTCCTTAATTGATCCTCTACTACATTACACACAGGAACTATTCCAAACATTCTTTTCTCTATCTTGTCAATGGAGAAGCCTCACTTTTTCAGCATTAACCATTTGCTCTCCTTTCTCCTCTATTCTACAAGATGTTATGCTCCATCATTTCTTTCTCTACTCCATTCAATGATGATGAGGTGGCCCTTCTCCTTGCCAAGGTCAACTCCTCTAACTTGTATTCTTCATCTTTTCTCCAGAAAATTATCCCCATAACCATTCCCTCTCTTTAATTAATATTCATTTTGTCCCAGTTTTCTGGCTTCTTGACTGCCATCTACAAATATGCTAGTCTTCCCCATTCTTTAAAAACCCTTGCTTGCCCTGACTATTTCCTCAAGCTATCATTGTATATCTCACCCTCCTTTTTACAGTCAAACTTCTAGAAAAAGCTATCTTCACGCATTGCATCCATCCTCTTACTCACTTCTCCAACCCCTACAATCTGGCTCATGACTTCATCATTTGACTGAAATTGCTCTCTCTAGCCAGTCAGTCAATAAACATTTATTAAGTGCTTATTACGTACAAGGTATTGTGCTAAGTGCTGGGAATACAAAAAGAGGTAAAAGACAGTCTCCTGCCCCCAAGGAACTCACAATCTAATAGGAGAGACAAGTAACAAACAAGATGTATACAGGATAAACAGGAAATAATTAAAAGAGAGGAGGCACTAGAATTAAAAAGCATTGGGAAGACTTCCTGGAGAAAATTACAGTAGGTAATTGAAGTTACCAATGATCTCATAATTGCTATATCTAATGGCTTTTTCTCAGTTCTCATCCTTGTTGATCTCTCCTCAGAGACTGAGACTGTTGACCACCCTCTAGTCCTGGATAATCTCTTTTCTTACTTTTTATAACACCAGTCTTGTTTGGTTCTCACCTTGCCTTTTCAGGTTCCTTTGCTTGAGCATCATTTATGTCCAGTTCCCTAAATGTAGATGTGCCCCAAAGTTCCATCTTGGGTCTTCTTTCTCTAAATTTTCTTTCTTGGTGATTTCATAAGCTCTCATGGGTTCAGTTATCATCTCTACATAAATGACTCAGATCCAGATCCATGTATCCAGTCCCAGTCTCTCTCCTGAGTTCCAGATCTTCATTACCAACTTCCAACTCAATATTTCAAATCAGATGTACCCAAAGCACCTCAAACTCAACAGATACAAAATGGAACTCATTATCTTTCCTTGCTCCCCAAATCCTACTCCTCTTCCTAACTTCTCTAGTGTTGTTGAAGGTACTGCCATCCTTTTAATTAATCAGGTTTGTAACCTAGCTGTTATCCCAACTCTCCCTCACTTGACATGTCCAGTCATCTACAAATCTTATCAACTCTATTTCCCTTACATCTCTCATATCCACCCTCCTTGTTTCCAGTCACATAGCCATCACTCTAGTTCAGGTCCTTATTACCTCTCTTGAACTATTAGAATGGCCTCCTAATTGGTTTCCCTGCTTCAAGTCTCTCCCATATCCTTTTCATTCTATACAAGCTGCCTAAGTTATATTCTTGAAGAACATGTCAAGCCACATCACTCCACTGCTCAAAGAGCTCCAGTGGCTCCCTACTGTCTCTCAAATGCCTAATCCTGCCTACTCCTCTGTCTGGCATGTCAAATTCTTAACAATCTGGATCCAATTTACCTTTCCAGGCTTGTTAGGCATTCCTCCCCTACATGCACTCTGTGGTATTCAAAATGGCCTCCTTGCCATTCCTAACACATGACGTCCCATCTCCTGCCTCCATGCCCTTAACAACAGGCTGTTCCTCTCAACAAGAAGGCAGTTCCCCTTTATTTCCACCTCTTAGAATCCCTAACTTCCTTCAAAACTCTACTAAAGTGCTGTCCTTCCCTGATTCCCCTTCTGGCCCCTCCCTAACCCCATATATTTACTCTGAATATATTTCAAATTTGCCTCTATGTAAATGCCATTTCCTACAATAGAATACTAGCTCCTTACAGGCTGTTTCATTTTTGTCTTTGTAGTCCCAATACTTAGCATAGTAACTAATACATTCTAGGAACGTAGTGAATATTTGCTGATTGTCATAAGTATCACCAATACTGCTTGCGCTAAAAAAGAATGAGATGAATTGCAGCACTTTCCACATAAAACTATCATACAAAGGCCTAGCATTCCATTTCAATCCAACCACGATTTCTTTTTGGTAGGAGCAAATCAAATATAAAATTTAAATTCACCACAAAAATCCTTGAGGAGGAATTTGAAGTGGTAACCTGCTTGCTAGACTGTCAGCTTCTTGAAGGCAGGGACCATGTGCTTTACATCTTTGTATATAGTAGATACTTAAAAGAACTTTGGTTGAATATGTGTCATACAACTGATATTAAAACGCTATAAAACCACTTTCAGAGTAGCTAATGGAAAAAACAACCACCAGACAGATACTGTAGTGAAGGTAGGTTCCTAAAGCACAAAATGGTGACAAAGTGTCTGCCTCTGAAAGGACCAAGACAAGCTTTGAGTCTCTCAGTGTTGTGTTTAAGCATTTATTTCTTTTCTCATTCATTTGGTTGCTTTGAGGCTTTTCTAGTTGCAAACATCCTAATCTGGCATGGACCCCTTAAATACTCTAAAACAGGTTTATTTGCTCAACTGTCACTTTATAAAGCTGGGTTGTACAGTACAGTTTTACAGAATTATAATGAAGATAAGTAACTCAATTGAAAGAAATTCAACAAGATGGAGCTGTAAGTTTTCCATCAAAGTGACGCAGTTTTTAGTTTGGGGCTGATATCCTGCTGAGCTAGTAACAGCAAGAGCAAAAGAAGACAGCAGCTCTTTAGCAAAGCTAGCCAATGCCTGCCTCTGAAAGCCCCAAAGTAATCCTCTAATTCAAGCCAGTACTTCTCACTTTTAAAAGACTCAGGCTATTTGCTATGACCCAACAGCTAATTTTGACTTTTGTTTAAAGAAGTTTCTAAAAGAAACGAATTTGCAATTTGAACAAAGACCCAGAATTGAAGGGTCTGTGTGTGTCCCTCATGGTACACTCCTTACAAAGATAAGGAAGTTTGCTGGAGGGCATGGGCTCTAAGTGTGTGGGGAAAATATGCTTAACTCTTACCTTTATAATGGGAAATCTAGTGTTCCAGGTAATATTTGGAAATTCCAAATTCACAACCTATGGACTCACATATACCTTTCACTTGATTAACTTTGACATAAACATATCCCAAGTGCTTAGCTTCTTAAGACAAAATGGGAGGAATACATGATACTTCAATTTGACATGGTATGCTGTTTGACCCTTGTAAAACTCTTTAAGCAAATGGAGTAATAAGTACAAAATGTATTTATTTTCTGCCTTTTTTATCTTACAAGGAATAGGAAAAGATAATTAAGATGTCTAATCCAAACTACACAGCTCACTAGTGTTTTCCAAATCATATTTTCTCAGATGTTTTACTAATGTCTTATTAGACCAAGATGTCTCTGCAGTTTATGAAGATACTCACCTGAAGATGATGTTACTGTGTGAACTGATGTTTTTACCACCAAACACAGTTGGAATCCATGAAGGTCTAGGTCTCACACCCCATTCTTGGAAACACTGCTCAGAATATGCAGCAAAGTCCCATTCCTGAGGTTCAAACATATCACTGATACCAGTGGTACAAATGGGCATTACCATTTCTGTGCAGGCCTAAATAGCAAAGACAAAAGAAATTAGACCTGCTTGACCCAAATCACTATCTTTGGTTTTGTCTTGGATAAACTTTGCAAGTAGGCCATCAAGTAGCAGCTGATATTTAAAGAAGGCCCTTTTATAGGAAAATTATATATCTTTACCTGATAGTTCCAGCCCTGGATCCCAAGATTGCTTGTTGCTGTTTGTGAGGTATTCAGGCAGCTTGCTTCTCCAGAATAATTGTAATAGATATTCACTGCCCGGAAAATATTCTGTACCAATATTTTATCTGATGCACTGGGATCTGTCAGATATTTGCATACCTCCTATTGTTTTAAAAAGATTAAAAAGAAGAATATCAGGAAAGAGAAAGAATATAAATATAAAATTAAATTTTGTCTAAACTATATTGAAAACCTGCCATTAATTCTATGGTGTCTTTGATGATGATAAAACATATTATTATTATTATTATCTTCTAGATTTCTCTATGGTGCTACAACTCCTGAAATAAACAAAGTTCAGCTTCTCACTTTGACTGATAAGTAGCCCCAAAGCTAACTTTACATATGAAGAGATGCCTACTAGATGTGATGAGGAACATTAAAAAGGTCTCTCACCCCACAACTACCCCCCCATTATATATAACAAATGCCTGGAATTCTCTCATTAAAGGTCACAGAATACATATGAAGAATGCAGAGAAGCATGGAAAGATTTATATAAGCTGATGAAAAACAAAGTAATAGAACTAGGAAAATAATAAACAAAATTACTATGACAATATAAAAAAAAAATGAAACTGTGTAATGCTATAAAATGCTGTATGATTAAAATAATCAAGTTTGGCCCCAAAAAGAAGAGAAGATGCATCTCCCTCATTTTTTTGGTGGAGGAAAATGAGCATGGAACATTGAATATTCTGTCAGATTAAGTTGATGTATTGATTAGCTTACCTACAATGCAGTTTTTCTCTCCCTTTTTATTCCCTGTTATGGGAAAGAACTCTTTAGAAAAGGGAGAGAAAAGGACTATAGCTAGAAATTGGCTCCAAAGGAAGAATATATTTGGAAATGAATATGAGGCAAAAACAAAAGATATAAAGGTCATAGAATCATAGAACAAACATTACCTCTATTAAAATATGATGAGGAGGGTAATACTTTAAGCTATTATAAGCTTTGAAGAGCTCAACATGAATTTGCTTCTCAGCTCTTTCCCAATATGGCAACTGACTGGGAAAAGCTTCCTGCAAAGTGAAATAAGTAATAGGGAAGTTTGGAAAAGAAGAAAGGAAAAGATAAATCCATAGTCAACAGTTTTGCAAGGGCAAGTCTGAGTTAGGGATGTATAATAAGAAGAGAAGAGAAGAAATTTTCTGAAAGGGAGAAGTAGAAAAGCACAAAAGACACATTTTGCACATTTCAAAATTGTGCCTTTTCTTAAAAAAAAAAAAAGCTGCTAACCTCCCCAAATAAGGTATCATTAATGCTTAGCTTGAATACCCCCTACTCATAATTAAGGTCTTAAGAAATTGAACAAAGAAAAGTAAAAGCAGAAAAATTAAGAAAATCCAACAAGCTGAAGGAAATTATAGGAAGGTTGCACCAACCCCTTGAGGACAGGGCTTGTGTCCCATTCACCTCTGTGCTCTTCTTGGGGTAAAGTTATTAAACTTTTAAGTGCTGTATAATGCTAAAGTAGGAAGCAGCTGGGTGGCACAGTGAATAGAGTGCTGGCCCTGAAATCAGGAAGAATCATCTTTCTGAGTTTAAATCTGGCCTCAGACACTTACTAGCTGTGTTTGCCTCAGTTTTCTCATCTGTAAAATGAGCTGGAGAGGGAAATGGCAAACCACTCCAGTATCTTTGCCAAGAAAACTTCAAATGAGGTCATGAAGAGTCAGACACGACTGAACAACAGCAACGCTAAAGTTCTATTAAACAGAGCTGACTAAAATCAAAGTCAAACAAATCCATTCAGCTCTGGAATGCAAATGAGAATGCAATAATAAAATAAGAACTGATGCTACAAGAAAATGAAAAAGGTAAATAGAAAGCTTTCATTTTTCTGGCAAATCTCCTTTATTTGGAGTAGTATTACTAACTCCTTATATTTACACAGTATCTTTAGAAGAAAGCCTTGGCATGAAAAATGCCAACCAGAGCTTTTCAATAGCATTTGAAAGTTAAGAACTACTCACAGAAGTTATCAAATGTTCAAATACTAATTAAGCCATACACTTTTTGAATCTGAACAATAACACTTGACTCAAAATGGAGTAATTAAAAAAACCTTCACGCAGCCAATTAAGCAACACTTTCAAAATCTTAGACTCTATTAGTAAAAATGTGATGTCTACAATGAAGCAGATAATAGATAATGCCACCATATTCTATGACTGTAAGCCTACATTTGGAGCAGTGTGACCAGCGCTCGGTGTCCTATTTAAGAAGGAAAACTGAAGAATCTAGAATAGAACAACTAGAATGAAGCATAAATAGGGCAGGAGGGGAGGGGAGTTTGAGGATGGTTGGGGAGATGACAGTATGACAGTTCCATATAAGAAAACTCTTTCTAATAATCAAAGCTATCCAACAATGAAATAATTTGCCTCAAAAAAAAAAGAGAATGCCCTATAATGGTAGGTATTCAAGCAGAGCCTTGATGAACAGTAATGTCAGAGAAAGAAATTGTGCATTGTAAGAGAAGACAGCCTTGCTTATAATACACATTTTTTTGTAGAATAGCTGTCTTCCATTTCCCAATAAAAAGTACAAGAATTGGCTCCTCAGCCCTCAAAACAAATTTGAAATCTCTTGTAATAAAGTGGCTCCATGGGTAGTAGTGTTCATCTAAGGAAAAGGAAATAGGAATTGGAAGACCTGGGTTTAAGTCCTGATCCTTTTACTTTCTAGCTGTGTGATGTTAGTCAAGTTCCTTACCCTTTCCTGTAAAATGGAGATGATGATATCTGCACACCTTTCTCACAAAGTTATTGTAAGAATCACATGAAATAAGGTATTTAGGTGATCTATAACAATAAAGCGCTATATAATCGTGAGTTGTTACACATCCCTCTTATGCTAATGTTTCTATATAGTATTACATAACTTCATGAATAATTCAAGTGTCCCTTCAGCTATTATAACTAATTTTGAAAGTTTTTTTCATTTCTTAGATTGTTTGGTTATTTTCCTGAGTATTTCTAGGTATGCTAAGTGAAAGGGGAAGTATGCTGAGAAACAATATAAAAGACACTAAAGTTACGTGTTCCTAGAAAATGAGGCAGGTCAATTAGTTGTATGGTGAGAATGACAATGAAGGAGCGCTAACCAACCAGGAGCTCTCCTGTTATCCTTGGACCCTGACAAGAGCCAGAGGACCTTACACGATATTCCACAACAAATTCTAACTGGAAAGACAACATGAATAATTGTACCCTTAAAAAATTTAAAGGAAAATGGGACGTTATATCATTCACAACTTTGAATTCAAGTTGCAGGGTGGAAAAAATAAGAGACAATTTTGATTATATAAAATTTAAGAGCTTTTTTCCAAACAAAACCAGTGGGACAACAAAACTAAAACTTATGGATAGGGAAAATATTTGCATTAAGTATCTATGATAAAAGTTTAACTTCTAAGATCTATAGGGAAATTACACAAGTCTATGCTATTTGGAGCTATTACCAAATAGACAGCAAATGGTCAGCAAATATGAAGTTTTCCAGAGAAGGAAAACATACTAACAACCACCTGAAAAACTATTTAAAATCATTAATAATTGGAAAAATTCAAATTAAAATAAGCCAGAGGTATCATTTTGGATTCAAATTGGCAGAGATAGTAAAAGAAGAAGGGAAAAAAAATCAATGTTGGAGAAATTGTGGAAGACAGGCACTGAAAATGTAGAGCTGTCAATTTGTCCAACCATTCTGGAAAACAATTTGGAATTACGCAAAAAAAATTAACAAATTGTTCAGATCCATTGATTTAGAAATCCCACTAGTGGGTTTATGCCTCAAGTACATTAATGAAAGTAACAAAGTAAGAAAGATCTATGTGCAAAAAAAATAAATATAACAACAATATTTGTAAAAGCAAAACCAATTATATGTCAAATGATTAGAGAATACTTTTGATCAAACTGTGATATATGATATCAAGCCATAATAAAAACAACAAATATAAAGAATGCAAAGAATTTTGTAAGAATTACATGAAGTGATGCTGAGTAAAGGAAGAAAGACTAAGAGAATACACAATATAACAACAGTAATATAAATGAAGACAACACTAAATAGAATAATGCTCAGATCAAACATAATGGACAATATGAATATCAAATAATTCAAATTAAAGTCCACTTCCTTTTTCCATTAACCAGCAGTAAAAAAAGTGTGGAAAGTAACACATAGATCCCATCACAGCCATTTTTTAAGGCAGTTTTGGAAAGCTGTTTTTAAGGCATATATTTTACAAACTGCATGCTTGCTAGAATTTTTTTTTTAAAGCATCAATTTAAAAAAGAATAACTGAAAGGACTATGAGGAGCAATACGTTTAACTGGAGATATTTTCATGCCAATATACTTCAACAAGTAATAAAGGGAAATTGATAATAACCTCAAACATAAAAATATAAAAGAAACTGAGAAAGGCCTCCAGAATGTGTTAGTTGGACCCTTTATGGATGATGTATAGGAAGCTAGGAGCAAGAATCAAACAGTATCACAAAGTTGTAGCAATCTGTACTGATGAAAGGAGTATACCCATACCCAATGAGGACACAGATTCCAAGGATCAGAATATCCTAGATAAATACTCAAAAAAAGGGGAGACCGTTCCCATGGCTACAATAGTGGGGGAAGAGGGAACTCTTCAATCAGTGCAAGGTAGTGAAGGGAGAGCTAAAAGCTTCAGGCATCAGCATTTGAAATGACAGGACTTAAGTTGACTTTACCTTCCTTTTACAAATAACTATAATGCCACTTAGCATTTCTATAGCACTTTAAGGTTTGCAAAGTACTTTACATGGGTGATCTTTTTTGGTTCTCCTTCCTTCTACAGCTATGAAGATGGAGGTAAGAGCATTCAAAAGCCTATTTTATTAACCTCTTGATAATATGAGGAACCAAAAGTTTAAAGGAAAGGAAAATTCTAACCTTGGGACATAATCTAATTGACTTTACAACAAAATATCAAAAGAGATAATATTTGTACAGTGCCTTGCATGTATTAGGCATTTAATAAATGCATATTCCCTTGCCCACAAATATATAGGGTTCTACCCTTATTCCCATACACGCCATGGAAAGCAAGAATAATAATTCTTTTTAAAACTTCCCGTGGTTCTACATCTGAGAGTAAGTGTTTGAATAAGATAAAGAAGGGAAGAAGGGAGGAGAGGTTTGGAAAGAAGAGAAGGAAAGAAGACAGTTTGTTTTTTGGTTTTTTTAAAAAAGGCTAATTTCTTCCCTTTAGAAAGTATGGTCCATCCACATTACAGAAAAGATTAAGCAGATACATTCAACTATTCTAACAGATTTTCTTTCCCTCAGTCCTCAATAACCCTCACTCTGACTCAGATAATCACATTAGTTTTGTCATTAAAAGCTCCCTTTTCGTAGAATGCACCTAAACCGCTTAAACCACCCAGAGAGGTCGCGTATGTAATAAAACAGGAAGACAAGCAGAAGGGATTTTCCATTTTGGGTCTTATTATTTCACTGTATCTATCTGTATGCTCAGAAGACTAAGCTAAAAGGTTTCATGAGCTATTCCCTAAGAAAAAAATGCAGGGGAAATAAAATCTGTACAGTGTCCCTTAAGCTGCCATTTAGCCTGACAAGAGATCCAGTATTGAAGGTGTTTGTGTTGATAGAACAATCAAATGACAGGGGTATTTTTATTTTCTCCTCTCATTTTATTTTTAATCCATCAGCCCAATCCATAATTATTTTTGCATGAATGCTGCAGCTTTTGTTAACAATAAACAAAAGGAAATTGAACCCATCTATATATATAAAATGTACAAAAACAATCAAAAGGAAATTACTGAAATTTGGATACTAACCAATGATGATTTCAAGCATGTGATATCCAGGATTTAAATTCCCCTAGCATTTTAGAGATATTTAAATATGTCATCTGTAACATGCCACCTTGAAATTCTTAGTTCAACTCACAAATCAGAAAAGGATAGCTGTTTGTCAACCCTTTAAAAAGGAGGAAATGGATCAGAGGGAGGAGGAGTTCTGCATAAATGGAACTATCCCAGTGAAAGAATAGTCACCAACTGGCTAGTGTTCCAGAGCTTAGTGGAATAGGAGAACAACATAAAGAAGGTCAGGAATGGAGAAATGGAATGAAGAGCTGAAAGAAAGTGATCCAAAACTAGAAAGGTGGAAAAAAGCTGGTGTTTGAAAGTTTTTGAAAAGCAAGAAAGCAATACTGAAACAAAATTGAAAATATCCAGATGCAACAAATATTTCCATTCATGAATACAAGAATAGAGTATATCATGTTTTTTTTTAATTACATTAAAGAGAAGTGTAGTTCAATCACTCAAGAATTCCTTTAACTTTGAAGAGTTAAGATAAAGCTAGTAAAAAATGAACTGAAATGCGAATGATAAAAGCTAGATCTGATCGAATGAAGAAAAAAGTGGAAACATATATAGAAAAACAGGAAACAAAATTTTATGACTTTGAAAAAAATTAAGAACATCAACAAGAAGAGTATTGTTAGATGAGAAAAAAATGTAAAATGTTAAGAGTATATTAGATTGGCAGTGGTGAGAGGCTTCTGAGAACAGCATACTATCCTTTCACTTATAATAAGTACATTATTGTCTTAATTTTTTTTTTAAATCAATACTTAACTACACAGATTACAAAATTTGGGGAAAATAAGGTCAGTAGACTACAGTCTCTTACCACAGGACATCATGAAGCTGGACCAACTCTATAAAACATGTTCTGCTAAGTTTGCACTTTTAAAAAGAATAACAGTACCTTGGGTGTGCATTATAACAGCGCTTAAGCACTGAACACACTTTTATAATTGCTGTCTGCACTGAACACACTTTTATAATTGTTGTCTTCTGATTACATCATTCCCACGAGGATAGAGAGGTTCAAGTATTACTCTCATTTCGTAGATAGGAAAACTAAGGGAAAAAAATTTAAAATGACCATCCCACTACAATGTGTTGTAATACAATGGTTACTAAAGACTGGCCTAACTCTCAATTCCAAATGTCTATCCACTGGACTATTTTGTACAGAGAAATACTCTACTATGAAAAAAAAAACTAGCTAGTTTGGATATTTTCCCTTCGTTATTTTGATGCCAGATCTCCCACAAGAAAAACTTTTTACAGTCAAAACTCATTGGTAATTCTGCTTTTCAGATTTAAGAAACATTGACTCTGTAACAAGTTGAATAGTTGTTCCCTTCACAAATCAGCCCCTCACATCTAGAAGTGACCAACTTCAAAGGCCATGTGGTCCACAAGACACCTGAGCAAGAATCCCTTCTACAACACTACCAAAAAGCTGGTTATATAGCTTTTGCCTGAACACTCTTAATGAGGAGGGAAATCCATTAACCCTTGATGCAATTCATTACACTTTGAAACAGCTCCGTTTGTGGGGAAGGTTTTCTTTACATTAAGCCCCAATCCACTTCTCTACAATTTGCATCTATTGCTCCTATTTTTGCCCTCAGTGAACAAGCAGAAAAAAAGTTTAATCCCTCTTCCAGGAATGATAACCCCTCAAATTTCTGAAGATTACCATCATATTTTCCACCCCACCTTCTAAGCCCTCCCAGAACCCCAAAGTCTTCTCTTCTCCACATTACACACTTCCAGTTCCACCAATCAATCCTTGCATTCCAAGGTCTCCTCTCTCCTCACCCTCATAAGTTTCTTGTAGACATGCTCAAAACTACCTGTACTCTCTGAAATGGACTGAAAGAACTCAACAGAACACTCCAGATGTGGTTAGACGAGGACAGCATGATGACCATTCCCCTTGCCCTGGACACTATACAGGAAGTAGAAATAATATTAAAGAAAACAAAGTTGGAAGAAAAAAAACCAACAAGACTAGACAATGTATACACAGAAGAGATGTGGGTTGGAGACTACACAATTCTGAGGGTGTTCATAGGCTGATTCTCAAAGCATATGAATAATAAGGAGTAAGACAGCAAAGGCATGAAAAAGAAATTTCAGACCTTATTACAAAATCAAGGCAGCTGAAAGAACATTAATAACTAATTCATCAATAGACATTTTGTTGGGAACAAGCTATCTATCCTCTCTTATAAAGGGAATCCTGGAAGAGGACATTAAAAAGAAACAGGCAGGTTTTTGCAAGTGATGCTCCCACAGGACAGCGTGCATTTACCATCACACAATTGACTCAAAGGGCGCAGAGAATACAAGATCTCACTGTGCCTCCTGTTTGCTGACTTTATAAAAGCATTGAATTTTATAGAGTAAAACACCACCTTAAAGGCTTTTCTTCAACAAGACGTCTTCCGAGCTAATGGTGACAGTGAAGCAGATGCATATTAAACACAAAAGCAGCATTAAGAATGATTCAAGAACATGTTTCTGTTACCTTAATGGGCCAAGCAGGCAAAGGCATTAAGAAGTCAGAACTGTACGGGTAATCCACCATTGCCAGATTCACCCACGTTTCAGCTAGCCACGATTTCAACATGATTGCATCAATTTGGCTTCTTAATGGGTTGCACAGATGAAATACTTCAGAAATCCACTGCAAGCCTTCACCTATGGGAAAGAACAGGATCATTTGCACTTGCTTCACTTGGTAACTACTAGTCAGCAGAAATATTTGAAAAATGTCAGTTCATTTCACAATACTTCATGACAAATACTGCCTCAAATAATAGAGAATTACAACCTCGGAGCTACAAAGGACCTCTGAGGTTCTACAGAGTGTCCCAGAAGTCTTAGTTTGGTTTTAAGCTCTAATAGCTTAATACTAGCTACTCCTCTTCTGTTTTGTATATTTGAGATTCATAAGCTTGTCATTATCCTGGGCGCCTCACTCTTCCTCACAGCAACATATCAAATAAGCTGCCAAATGTCATCATTTCTATCTCCTCAACATCTCTCACATCTTTCCCCTTGTCTCTACTTACAAAGCTACTACTTTAGTTCAGGTTCTCATCCCTTATCACTTGTTGCATCAGCCTCCTTCATTGGTCCCAGTCAAGTTTTTCCTCCCCTCTCTAGTCCATCCTACATTCTGCCACTAAAGTAATTTTCCTTAAGCACAGTTCTGATCACATAAGTTCCCCACTTGCCCAACTCCAGTGCTTCCCAGCCCCTTGGCTCAGCCTCCCCACCAAACCACCCCCCCAAAACCCTCCAAGTGAAAGTATCAGAACAGGCGCTTAGAGAGGCTGCCACTGCCCAACAAAGGCCACTGATCATACCCAAAATGTAGCATTTCAACTTTGAGGGAAATCTCTGTCTGGGACAGTGCCCCAGAATCTGCCCTTGGTCCTTTGCTGTTCAACACTTTTTATCAGTGACTTAGTGGAACAGATGGCATGCTTGTCAAATTGCAGATGACACATACCTTGGAGGCTGATAGAGTATGGCTTCAAAAAGATCTCAATAGGCTCAAAAGATTGAATTGGAGAAAATGAAATCTACGAGGGATGAATGTAAAGTTCTGTACTTGGATTAAAAAAAAATCAGTCAACAGTATTTAAATGCCAGGGACTATGCTAGCTGCTGAGGATACAAGTACAAAGAATTTAAAAATCCCTATTTGGAATGAGCTTACATTCTAATGGGGGAGACAAGTTCATATTATATATGTATTGCACACAAACACACACACACATACATAAAACAAAAATAATGTTAACAGATACAAATATGTACAAAGTAGTTAAATACAGTGTATTTTGGGAGGGAGAGTGCTAGTGGTCAAACAGATTAGAAAAAGATGATTCAAGAAGATGTTGACTGAAATGCATCTTAAAGAAAGAACGATGCTCTATGAGGTGGAAGTAAGGGGCTGGGAGAGTGTGTTCCAGGCATGGCAGAGAACTAGTTCAAAGGTACAGAGAAGATGGGATGGGAGGGGCTTTGTACACTGAACAGAAAGAACACCAGTTTGGCTGGATCTGAAAGTTCCAGAGAGGGAGAAATGTCCAGTGAGGCTAGAAAGATAGGTTGGAACCAAGTTGTGTAGGCCTTTAAAAGTCAAATGAAAGTATTTATATTTTGTCCTAGAGGCAAGTAGAGAAAGAGCCCGCAGGACTGTACAGTAAAATCTATGTATCTTAATATAGATTTTTTTTTTGGAATGAAGATTTCTCTCAGAATTCTTTATATACAGTTTAATTTGTGTAATACAAATTTATGTAACATGAAAACTGTCCATAATAATAAATATGACAGCTAACATTTATGTAGGACTTGCTATATGCCAGCCACTGTTCTAAGTTGTTTAAAATCAATAATAATAATAAACATTTATATAGTGCTTAGTATGTGCCAGCCACTGTTCTAAGTGCTTTATAATAAAAAAGAATAATAATAGTTAACATTTATATAGCACCTACTATTATCAGGCACCATGCTAAGCACTTTAAAATCATTATGTCATTTGATCCACACAACAATCCTGGGAAGTAGGCATTATTATTATTCCCATTTTATAGATGAAGAAACAGAGGCAAACAGAGGGTAAGTGACTTGCCCAGGGTCACATAGCTAGTAAGTGCCTGAGGCCATATTTGAACTTGGGTCTCCCTGATTTGAAGCCTGGATGCTCAGTCCACTGCACCACCTAGCTGCCCCTTTATTCAAAACTGACTCCTGGGCTGGCAGAATACAGAATGTAGAAGGTAAGATGCCACATCAGCTCATCCTTGGAGAGAATCAAACTAGCAGAATATGAAAATCCCAAGAAAAGCTAAGAAAGAGCCTTCCATCTTGGCAAGGAGGCACAAGACTGTGCCTGATGTGACCTGATTTGCTCAGAAGAAATAGAGAGGTCTTCAGACAAGACTCCTGAGTCTTTGCCCTTGACCATGTGGTGGTAAAAAATGAGACACACTGTACTTTCTCTTTCCTCACAGATGTAGCTCCACTTTAGAAGAGGTCTTCATTGAATGTATGGTGGTAGTCACATCTAGGTTCTATGTTTTGCCTTCCTTTAACCCAATTCTTGTTCAAGGTAAACCAAAAGGTAGAGTCCATCCTGTCTCAGCCCCCCAAGGCCAATAATGATACTAGCAGATTAAGATATCTCTGCTTCAAGGGCAGCTAGATAGAGCTCTGGCCTTGAGTCAGGAGGACCTGAGTTTTTAATCCCACCTCAGACACTTGACATTTACTAGCTGTGTGACTCTGGGCAAGTCACTTAACCCCAATTGCCTCAACAAAAAGCAAAAAAAAAAAAAAAGATACTGTGAGAAATAGTGCATATTCTACCTTGGCTTATAACTACGGGTGAAATGAAACCTTTTACTGAATTGTGTTCTAAACTGTAAACAGTAGGTTTTCTATGACAACCCGGACCTCAGCCAGGAAGGAACAGTAGCCTGACCTTGCCCTCTGGTCAGGCTCTCTACACTTCTGAAAAATGAATCACTGAGAAACCTAAATGTCTCAGTTTTTCTGTGGATTGTGTTTTCTTTCCTTTTCACCATGTGGCCTCATGTCAGAGTATGCACAAAAGACAATCCTACAAATCTTCCTAATTTTGTAGTATTTCATATTCCTAGAGTTGTTAAAGATTTTTTTTTATTATATCAGTCATTGTTTTGTAGATTTCCATGTTCATTCATACTAAGCTAAGGAGTTCCCTTTATAATCCATGTGCTTGATTCATAGATTAGGTTTGGAGATTCATCACTGAGATAACAACTTTCCCCTGCAGTCTGAATGCTTGATAGTCATCATAAATATATCTCTCAAGCAAAATGGGGTCTACATTTTGGGAGGGTCAACCTCCAAGCACGCTAATGTCCAATGCCTAATCCAAAGACCATCAATAAATTTGGGGAGCAACAGACTAGACAAGAATGGCAAAAGATGCCAAAAGTCTCTCAACCAAAGCTCCCTCATCTTCTAGCGAGCCGAGTAAGAGTCCATACTTTCTTTTTAAGAAGCTCTCCTGATCAAGAGAAAAATTTGTTTTCTTTAAGGTAGAGTCAATTTAAGCACACAGCCATTTATTTCCCTTTTTAAAGAAGTTCAAGAATCAATTCAGCTGATCAAATGTTATGAATATTATTATCAAAGCATATAAATAAGTTGAATTTCACTCCTCTTTAGAGTAAAAGGTTCAGGAAATGAAGATGTATGTGCTTTACAATTTTTAAAGATCCAGTAAACCACCTTTTCCTCATCTTTGTTGCTGTCAGTATTATTATTATTATTATTCGCAGCCACCATTTCCAAACTATACCCTCTGCACTTGTCATCATCCTTATCTCCGCCCCCACCACCAACACAACCTTGAACTCTTCCCCCAGAACCTCCCTGGGCTCCAAATGCTAAGGTTTTTCCCTTATTTTGCCTAGAATCAGGTCTCCACCTCACTTCCTGGCACCTTTTCCAAACCAAGCCACAACACTTGAATCTCTGCTATCCAGACTTCCAGATCCCTTTTATGTATTGTCTTCTCCTTGTTAAAGAATGTAAGGCCATTGAGGGCAAGAACTGTCCTGTTTGCTTGTATCTGTATCACCAGCACTTTGCATAGTGTTTGACACACAGTTAAATGCTTAATATATGTTTTATCTACACTATATATTGATACCAAATACATTGATTCCCTACCTTTCTCAACAACTTCAGCATTTCTCTTTTTCTATACTAACTCCTACCACCATTCCCGTTGACTTTAACTTTTACTGATCTTTGATGGCATTTCTAATACTTTGTGCTCATGGTTTCTCTACCTCCTTAACTCTAATGACTTTCATATATTCTCTCTACTTCACCCACACCTTGGACATTGTCATCACTCAAAATGTCTCCACTTCCACAAATATAAACTTTGAAATTCCCTTCTCAAATGACAACTGCCTCATTAATGCTTCACTCCTATTGAATCAGCTATTTGCTCTCATCATAACTTTCATTCTCTTGATCCCTACCAGCTTGCTATGTTTCCCAACCCAGTTTATATTCATAGCCAATTCAACTATTACTTTACCAGCATCCTAAAATCCTTCACCCCTGTTACCTTCGACCATAGCACCCGTCCTTGCCAATTCTAACCCCAAGTACACTACATCAATAATTCTTTCTCCAACAATACTCAAGCACATGGGGGCAAAGTTACATAACATTTCTGATTAGTGCCACTACAAATTCTTGCTACCTAACCAGCTGTTTTCAATGCACCTATGTATTCATTTACCCACATTTATGTTAATGTACATAACATACCTACCCTGAGCTCCAAGGAGCTAACTTTAGAAACTGAGTGACTATTCAAACATTTTTCACTATCCTCAAAGCAGCAATGTCACCCCTTCCCCCATCACTGTCTTCCTACTTCAGAAGAGAGGGAGGGAACAAGGGTTTATTAGCACATAGCCTCTGCTACGTATCAGAGATTATGCTAAGCATTTCACAAATATTATCTCATTTGATTTTCACAGCAGCCCTAGGAGGTAGGTACTATTATCCCCATTTTACAGTTGAAGAAACTGAGGCAGACAGAGATTAATTGAGTTGCCCAGGGTCAGGTCACACAGCTAGTAAGTATCTGAGGCCAGATTTGTACTCAG